CCGAGGCCGAGAGTCCGCCGACCGAAGGGTCAAGGTATACCATTATGTTGTACCGAGGTCGACAAGTGATAGATCAGGATTGACCTTGAAGGACCGGGCTCCACCTTGCAAAACCGCGGTCTATCGGGCTAACCACCGTTAACCGTTTTTAATGGAGGCTAACTAGCACGCTTTAACTGTGCATTCTTCTCATCCAACGGTCGTTCCCCGTCCCCTTTACCGCTTTATTTTTCTGTCCCTTACCCAACAATCGCTCCACCTTGGCAAGTCCCTTTCTCTTTGACCCTCCGGTACTCTTACCTCTCAGTTCTTTGAGCGCTTCACCACAGCCGCCCTCTGCACTTGGCCAAAGGTACAGCTGATTGAACACGCGCATGTATTTGACTTCTCTATCCCGTAAGTACTTTTTGCTTGTTTGGCATTTTAATATCCGTTGTCTGACTTAATGTGACTTGAGCCGTTCCTTCCTCTAGGGTAGATCCAACATTTGAGGGCCCGGTCTTGATCGTCCTTCTTTCACTGCTGACCCAGAGTCCCAGATTCCCTCCCGAATGCCGATCGGCACTTCTCTCGGGGCGCCAGGACCTAAAGAGTCCACGACTGTTTTTTCTGAAGCCGTAGGTGATAAAAGTCCACCAGTCGTGAACGTCTGAGTAGCCCAACTCAACCCGCTATAGGAAGCGGTCTCTCTAACCTAGTGGCCCGGTAGCAAGTAAGGGCTAGGCGGTGAACACCCCAGAGATATCAAGAAAAAGAAAGGAAAGACCAAGGTTGAGCATCTCCTCTAAAGAATTTGGTTATAAGTCCACCCTCGACCTAGTCGACTGAGGGGCCACCAATCCGCCTACCGAGTGAAGTATACCCACTCGAGGCACCCCAAGGTCGACCTTTCTCAAGGCCGACATCACATCTCAACCAAGTCCTCCGAAGAGCGAAACCCGCTAGCTGACGGGTGCACAAGGTGAGAGAAGGTCTATACGCAGCATCGGGGTACCCCCTCCGACAGTCGGCAGTCCGGCACAGTGAGTTGCTTGGGGTCTCATTACGCAGTTTTAGAACCCACTCCACCACAAGGGCGTTTTCACATTTCGGTTTACTCAGCGTTTCTCAGACTCGTGCCGGTGCTCAGCTCCAGATTAATTTGCCTGTCATAGACGAAGAGCTTCAGACGCCAAGAATAAACTCCGTGCAGCTTGAAAACTGCCGTTGCCTGGTGCGATATTCGACGTTGCTGCTCCCCTGATGACACCGATGCAAAACGTTCGCTTATCAGACTCCACAGCAATTGAAGCGCTCGTGCAACATCGTCAGTCCGTCGTGCGGTTCGCGCGCAACGCTATCACCTCTGCAGTGGACAAACAAAGGCGTCCGGTGATCAACGCGGACGCAAGAATCTCGAGAAGCGCAAGGTTGGTGATTATGTTCTACCTTCAACAAATGGAATACAAGACGAGTCGGTTACGAATCTTGGCGCCACAAAGCTGGCACCGCAATATATTGGACCTTTTAAGATCACCTAAGTTAAGGGTGATGCCTACACACTGGATATTCCTTCCTAAATGCGTCTTCACCCATCCTTTCATGCTAGACGTATTAAGCGTTAATGTGTGGCTGTTTGTCCGTCTTCGATTGACTCACCGCAGGTGCATATCGCGATCCCTGATAACGTGGATCCTTCGTTGGATCAAGCTTGCGCAGCCCACGCAACACCGCATTGTCTCGGCGAAGAGCGGTATTTAATTGTTTTAGACGTTCAGGACGCTGTACGAATCTAGCAATTACAGATGAAGTCTCCTCAGCAAGTCTATCGGCATCTTCGACTCGGTCACATGCTTGACTTACATCATGGTCAACGAAGCTCATCTGATGACCAACCTCCTGCAGCTGCTGCACAAGTGACTGGTTCAGAGTCGGCGCAGGAATCAACAGCTCCTGCGCCACACGTCCGAAGCCAGCGTGAGGGACTTCCACGACTAGTTGATAGCACTGGTAGTCGGCGTTGGCTGATTGAGCGTATCCTGAGTCACAGGGACCCGCCACAGGCTGGTCGTGGCACCTCTCACGTCCCACACGACCACGTTCCGAAAGCTCGGCAACACCGCGTTCGCTGGCTCGGCTTTTCCCCCGATAGCGACTCGTAGGAGCCTCGCACGACACTGGGGCAGACGTTCCGGACACCCTGAATGACTACGATCGCGAGATGAACGAGATTGCAAGCGTCATACAGCTCGAGGTGTTGGAAGACATTGTTTGCGAGAACGAGTTCTTGGGTTTGGCGAAGAGTCACCTTTCAGAGTTATGCTAGGTTAACCTTGATGGATGCTAGAGCCGGTCGTAGAGGTTTTTCTTGTACCTTCCGATCCATGTGTTCTCCTTATCACTCACTGGGTAATTCTAGAGCATTGTCGTCCATTGAGCGCGGTCAGGCCGCGCTACGCCATTGTCTTCGCAACTTCGACAACCTTTACGCCCGTGTACAGTACAAGCAGGGCGGTCAGAAGCCCATGACAACTCGCAGACGATCTTTTAAGTCTCTGCGGGGTCATAGTGCTGTCGTCGCTCCTCACGCATCGGCACAAAATCGGTGAATGATGATTCAGCATTCCATCGGCGCACGAATGCAGTCCAAGATTCGTCGAGTGAAGCTTGCCTCACGACGCATGTAGCCACGGTGGGCTTGTCGCGTGTTTGACTCCATCGGCGTCACATTTCAAGCATTTCAAGGTCCCTGGGCGAACTCTCTATACCACTGTATTCGTAAAATTCCCCGGCTCAAATTGTTTCAGCGTATGATCGTGTTATAATGGACACTACCATGAATGACGGTGTCATATTCTGCGTTCCGATGTTTTCAGCGGCGGTACTGCACGTGGCGTCGTCTCGTGTGCTCATGGTAGCAGCGATTGCTGCTTCAGTGGCAACGATTCTGTTGGTAGTCGTTTTGTGTTTTTTCATTAGTTTTGTTGTGCACACAAAATGGGTGTGCTATTTTATGTGAGGGCGTTTTGATGGGGTGCCCCGTAGACATCCTGCTAGGTACGACCTAGCAGCCTTTTTCATTAAATAGACTTAGCTAAGCATATATTACATAACTAGGTATTTGCTGTACCCGTAATAGCGGGGATTACATAACGAGGTATACGCTGTACCCGATATAGCGTGTACATCGTATATCTAGTTATGTAATATTTATACAAAGTAAAAATCAGGCCCGTTATCAGCCAGTAGGATGCGACCTTTAATTGAGTAGCTCTCAGACCTTTAAATATTACTCGTACTTATGATAATAATTAGAAATATAATAACAGAGTTAAATTTAATACTACACAAGCACGCGTTTGATTAACACGATTTCCTTTACGTTTCCTCGTAAGCCCTTATTGTAAGTTACGTAACCGGTCCTTACCCGGTTACACCATGGGCGTAGGCGCAGATGAAGTCACCTATGCCTTGACATGCTCGACTAGAGCTTTATTATATTCATCAAGCATATGAATACGCTTGTTAACCTCTTTTTCACCCTGGGCGATGAGGTACTCCACGCCCTTGGAAATAAGTATAGAAAGAAGCTTTTGCAACACTTTTTGTTGTACCTGTGACAGTCCAACCGCGAATATCTCTTCGATACCATTCTTACACATAGAAGTAGTCGCAAAACCAGTTGCGAGATTGACTACAAGTACTACCAGGTGTAGCCGAGATACTGTAGCCAAGCTATTTAATTGCACTAGGTGCAGAGGAAGACAAGCTCCAAAGGCTTATATGTCTTAGGGTTCTTGACCCTTTCAAGGCTAGCTCGCAAGCTTATGCCGTTTGGTTCTGAACAACCGAGTCTCCAAGAGACTTGTATCAGAGATACAATTCCTTTCTTGCAAGGAATAGAACGCTCTAGCACTTAAGCTTTTCAGAGCAGGTTTGAAACAGATTTGTATTTATGTTTATCTTCTAGCACTAAATATAGAAGCACCTACTCTATACTTAGTGCTAGTCAATATTTACTGGCTCTATAGCCCTATTTATGCAAACATGTATAGCCATTATACTTAACTAAGTATAGTGGCCACGTGGCTCTCTGCCACGATGCGCCCCTTCGTACCTTAGGTACGGCCACATCGAGCCTACACTTGTATCCAAGGCACAGCCACACCACATTGGTGTGGCAGGTGTGTATGTAAATTACACACCTTTATGTAACCCCGTTTACATGGTGTACATCAAACACTAGTGCACGATAACACTATTTTCACGCGAATCTAAGCGCCGGTGGCCGCGACTGCAACCTTGCGAATACTTAACACAATAACTATTTGCAATGCAACGAGTCATGCGCTTTCGATAGTGAGCAGAAGGACACGAGCAAGCTGTAGGAAGGATGTTTTAGAAGTGTGAACGTGATAATATTGTCTTTGCCTATGTGGGTATGTAGCTGGTAAAGAAAGCTGACGTTCTCACTGGATGAATAAGCCCCGCGGTGCGATTGGAAATGCTACACATAATCGCGCATGAAGTATGGGAGCGATATACCATCTGCTGACATAGACGTTAGTATGGTGGATGTAAAAAAACGGTTGGTTCCTATTGTGACGTATTTCATTCTTGCCGCGTTCGATTTTCACAGCTCGCGCAGAGCTGGTCATGGCATTAACGGCTTCGTAGACCGTAGGTGAGTCTGTTTGTAGTAAATACGTAGATGGCTGTTGCCGAGGCTACTGCGTCTTATTATAAATTTGATCCAGATCCTTGAAGAAGGCCTGGCGAAAACTAGACTAGTTTACCATTAATTTTTCTGTATCGTTTTGTGTAATAATGTAACATAACTCTTGTAATAGCAGCCAGCGTTGGTCGTCCGGTTACACTCGTTGTCCGGTGGCATGTTTACACTCGTTGTTTGGTGGCAAGCGTCGAAATTCACCGTACATTCAAATTGTAACAAAAACGCGCTGGTCGACACTTTGTCGCTGACGTAGCACGCAGCCCACGACTGAGTTTTACGGTAACCCATGGGCGAACATCATGAAATAAGAGGCGATCGAAATTTTTCAAGCTTCGCACTCACGAGCGGCATTGATTGGAGTATTTTTAAGGACGGCGAAGAGGACGCTTTTGGCTGGTTGCTGCGTAATAATTCGCCTGGATTCGGCATTGTAAGCGCAGGGGCAGCTGAAAGTAATACAGAAACGCTGGATATTATGCTTTTTGACGACGTCGAAATGGATCGAATGATGGCGTCGGCGCTGGCTCCTCAGCAGCAATTAGCCAAAGACCAGCTAGTTGGTGTAGACACTGCTACAACGGCGGCTGGGGGGCCAAGTGTCTCTGAGGATTCGGAATTTGTGCAGTCCAATGTGCGAGCGTTGGTGACGCAGATTTACGATGGCTCACGTACTTCATCCTTGAGGCCAATCGCAAATCTGATCTCGACACAGTCTGACGTGGCCCCCGGTAATCATGACAACTTGAATATTGGTGGAAGCGACAAAGATATTGAAAATGATCCAAACGAGAAAATGCAAATTAAGGAGCATTCGGATAACATTCTTACATTTTCCAAGTTGGAAAGGCCTATTCATAATAAAAAGCGAGGGGGCAGTGTTGCGACGTTGGAAGAACAGTTTTTACCTAGCATGCGAAGTACAAGGTGCAAGGTCAAATCAAACTCTTTGCATGCTACAAAAAGCAAGCGAACACTTAAACGGCATAAATGCAAACAAGCTTTATCCCTAACGGCAGATTCTGACCCCGATAATGATACAGAAAAGAAACAGCTACGTCGAGTTAAGAACCTTGTTTCGGTAAGAGAGTTTCGCAAGCGCAAGATGAAGCAGCAAGAGCAAAATGAGGTTCGCCTACGTCGACTGGAAGCTGAAAACATGGATTTAAAGATGCGCTTGAAAATTGGCAAGGAGGCTATTCTAAGCGAGCAGCGTGAGAAGCAGCAGATTAAGGAGCAGATGCGAGAAATGCTCCAGCGAAATGCGAATGAACACGAGATCGCTCAGTTTCTTAATATGTACAAGGTAACATACTCGGACTATGGACCAAAACGACGCGAAAAGCTGCGCTTTCATTTATCGCGTATTCGAGAATTACTTCTTCCGACTCAAGTCACAAAGTTAAGTTTGTACTCCGTGGAACAAGGCGTAGATATGCTAAAGCGTGATCATGATATAAAGATTGATCCATTATCTGCGCCTGAATCGGCTACAGCTACAAAGAGTCTTTGGGGCATATTGGCAGACGAGTTGAAGGTGTCAGACGATCAGCAACGGCAAATTTTAAAGCGCCGAACTGCAATTAAAAACGTGCGTGACGACCTAAACCACACATTGAGCATCGTAAAGAAACTGGAAGACGTGGCTGATGAAAAGAATACAGCGTTAGAGGCTCAGGTGGCGCAGCTGCAACAGATCCTGACACCCTCTCAGGCTACCAAATTTATCATCTGGGTCAAAGAAAACCCAGCCTTTATGTACATGCTGGACAAACTAGTGGACTCTACCTTGCAAAATAGCTTGTATAGCGCTGAAAAGTAATTCCTATGCCGCTCTGTATGGCTATCTTATTGGCAGCTGCATTATCTGTATTTCCATCCGCTAGACATTTTATCAGCTTAGAATGCCTTCCTAGAATGAGAAGGTCGACAGCAGCTTGTTAGCATCACGAAGATATTTTTTCGTTGAGGCTTGCAGAAGACATATTCACCTGGTAACATATTGACTAATATTATCAATTTATGGTGCTGTTGTTGTAGCTACCTCGCTGTCAGCGGAGTACATTGGTGCATCAGGTCGAGCACTTGTTCAATTCAATTTGAGCATCAAAAGGCACAGACACCCCCTTCTAATATGGAAAACGGCTGGGCGCTGCAGAAAACGTGTTACGTTTTGCAGATGGCTTCGTTGTAATCAAGCTTGCGGAAAATTTTGAATTATGTCGCTCTTAGCAAGTCCAAGAAAACTATTCGGGGCCAATGACGCTTGAACTCTCTTCGTCGCAAGCATCTTTTGAGGGCGCACACGGACGGCGCAGCGGTAAGTAAATTGTACTGACCCACCAATCCGCAATTGTGATTTTTGGCCATTTTAGCAATCGCTTACGTTGGCATTGCCTTTGAGATCGCTAGTGTTGGATATCTTCATTACTTGAAGCCTGTCTCATTCAGATTCCAACAATACTTCTTAAGATCTTTGCTGTCGAATTACGCCATGATGTTGTTGGCCGCAGTAATTCCCGTGATATATAGTATTCTTAAACATTGTGTATCGAATTTATTTGCAGCCATCGTATAGATTTGTTGCCTCGAGTAGTCTTACCACTATCCTTCCGACACCACTTATCACCACTTTTAAATAGGCAATTTTTCTAATACTGCGGTTCCCTGTTTTTTCATGACTTATGCAGTACTCGAGGTACAACAACATTAGATTGCACGCTCCGTTTTTTCAATCTTCTAGATGCGCTTATTACGTTGAAATGAAGCCAAGGATGTAGTGTAAGAAATATTCCATATGTTACAACGCAACACCATAAACGCTGACGAAATGTAAGCCCATCTACCAAAGTAATTACCAGCAAAATGGAAGCTGCGAAGAGTGACACCCACAAATTGATTGCAAGGTTCATGCTTGTGCCATCTGAGCCATCGCTTGATACGAGGCCCAAATTCAACACTGCGCAATATAGATATCCACCGTGACGAACTGCTGAAGTCCGATAGGTCCCTGGCTGTTTGACGTGATCATTGTAACACGACTTGTCCATGAGTGAGAATCGTTTTGAATCTTCAACGGAGTCAGACTTCGGCAACACCTCATCGGTCGTCATAGAAAAAAGACGCTCAGACTCTGGCATAGACCCGTGACGGCAGGAGTCCATAATAAAGCTGGGTCGATTCGATGCTATCCCCAATTTTATGCCCGCTATTGATCCTTGAAGCCCCGGCTCAATACCCACAAAGCTTACACCTCGAGACGCGCATCCGCTTCTTTCCTGAGTTTCCAAGAAACAAATATTCTTGGTGTCATGCAAGTTTTCATGCCAACGACTCAAATCGGTGGACGAAATGGAAGCCTCATTTTCTTGTTAGATCTGGCCGAAACACTGAATGCAGATGCGTGAGTTGCCTTTTAGCCTCTTGGTAAGCCCTTTGCGCTCACCAAGCAGCGGAAACTTGAGTGTACAGAATTGGCATCGCCACTTATGGCACTATAAAAGCAGCAAATAATATTAAGCAGCAGAATGTAGTGTCAGCAACTAAGACAAAGGCCAGCAAGTATTGAGAATTGACATACATAATTGCATCGCTTTGGTGGAAGCAGATTGCGTAGTGCCTTTACGTTGGCGCAATACAAACAAGACTAAATCGCTTTTATGTCTTTTGTCACCATGGCGACGCTGTTTGTCTTTATGTTAACTACAGAAGGAAATAATTGTCCACTGCGAAGTCGAAGATAAAGTAAAGATGTAGTATTTGCGTGGACCACACCCAAATTGAAGTGCAGTTTCTTTTCTTTAAAACAGATCGCCTGATTTCTAGCAACATCTTTAGCAGGTTCACGCAAGCATGAAAAGATTGGACCAAACCGTGACACTTGTTCCCGTTATACCAATCACGATAGCACCGATGAATAGCAGTACTGAGCCAATCTTCTTTGGACCGAGCAGTGGACCGTCTTCGAGCTTCAATATGAATGCGGCAGGGAAACAGAAGCAAACAACGGTGGAGCATGTGCCACCAATAATACCAAAAACCACGTTGATATTGGGACAAAAGATGGCTAAGAACAGCGCCAGCAGCACCAAACCACTTGTCACAGCCACATGACGCAGCAACGAGTCTTCCGAGTTAGAGAAAAACATCATGTCGATGGTGATAGCGGCACGGAAAGATATTCAGCGGAAAGGCAACGGCTACAGTGAAAGCGATGGCAGCTCGGCTAACAGCTATCAATGTATCGTTTAGCGGAAAGCTCAACAAAATGTTACCTTTGTACTTGGGCTCAACAAGCTGAGGTCCGAAGGCTAAATACGCCACCACACCGATAGACAAGTAAACCAGCAGAGAAATCAGCGTAGCACGGTCCACCACCTTGTTCATTCGCCGAATACACGGGCGCTGAAGCTCCGTGTAAATTGAGAAAACATTGACCTAGTAGAACAATGTGGACGGTTATTAGAGCAATACTGTGAAGGAATAGCAACGACATAGAACTGTTAAGTCAACCTGGCAAGTAAAAGCAAACATGACAATAGGCACGCTGAGAAAAAAATCTGGACCTCGGTTGAGATTTATAATCCAGCTGATGTCCTCCGGGATGCCATTGACACTCGCGAACATAATTGATCGGATGGTTACCGCCATAACTAGGAAAAAGATGGAGAGCACACCCAGAATCGACGAGAACTGAAGACTGCTAATGTCTTTCATCAAAGATAGTGGAAGCATGATCATTCCACATGAAATCATCATGAGCACCCAACGCTGCGCAAGCACGCTTTGTGGACCAAAACAAAGCTCTCCCAGTGGCGTGATTATATCTCCTAGCGTTACAAGGTATGCAACTGAAATACCAAAACAGAAAATTAGGATATTTACCTCCACAAATATTGTTATCTACGGCAAAACACAGCTCAGAAGTAAGAGATTAAGCAACATCGCAAGATGTAAAGAATTCGTAAGAGCACCTTCATGCCGAAGCAATACATCGCTAAATCTTCGTATGATTTTAGTCTGTGATAGAAGAAAAATCAAACGTCAATGGATCAAACAACCACTTTTTAACGAAGGTGTCAAATTGCAATAGTCTCGCACTTGGTAATATCCTCTGCACGAAGGAGCAGTCGAATCGTATACACTGTTAGCATTGCTGCCAGCATCAATTGAGCCACAGCAAAACCCAAGCCAGACACTGCGACTGCATACGGCAACGACAGTGCACCCGCACCAAGAGTAGCACCAGCCAAATTAAACACTGAGCCGCGAATTGAGCCCTTAGAAGGAATAGTTGACGGATGATATTGGAAAGTATTGCTGAGGCGTTCGCAATCTTTAGGCTAGATCGTAACATGCATAAATAAACAAATAAGCGAGAACCGACGTGCAGCAACAATTAAATACAGCTGTTTTACCTTTAATGTTTGCATCGGTGACATTGAGGTGATAAAACTTCCAATCTTCTTAATAATTTGAATAAAGCAATCGCGAAGTCAGCACTCTTTCTTTTTTTATCACCACATTTTCTCAAGAATTATACAAAAGGGCGACGATACCTTAAAAATTAGAGGCGTGTATCCAAGCTGCTCCAAATACGAGTTTCTAAGAGGTCGATCTTTGGTCTTGTGAATTCCGTCTTCCTCGACGTACTCCTCCATGTAGCGCTCATCCACTCCATTACTGGTCGAAGACAGCGAGCTCGAGCGACCGTATAGCAATGGCTCCATGGCGCCTTTGTAGTTGTCGTGTAACATTGTTCACTTTGGTATCTGCAAATGAAGTGCACAAGCACAGACGTGTGTAGTCAGTGATTGTAACGAGTCACACAGGCGCTTGCGATCCAACCTTTCAAACAACTATTCAAATGGTCGAGATATGCTAGCGGTTAGGGGGATCTGTTTATTCGTCAAAGCAGAGCGAATTACGAGCGATAATTTCCAATGACCGAGCCTGACCGCAAAAAAACAGTAGCATTTTTTGCCTTCTTTTAGAGCGCCTTAATGGGTTCTGCACTGCAGGCCGATCGGATTGCACAAGCGCAAGATAATTATTCAATATAAAGTTTTTGTAAAAATTATCTGCAACATTGTTGACAAACCAAGTGATGACCGAATAAGTGAAGGAAGGATTTACGCAACACGTGACTTGTCAAGATTTTTCCTGACTGCTCATGTTCATTTGTGTTCAAGCTGCACCTTAGGAATTATGTAATGCATCAAGCCGATATTCTCAATCCGCTTTATTATGTCACAGGCTTGTGGTCTTACATCACTTAGCAGTTGCATTATGAAGCATTTCCGATGCGATTACTCAGTACTCCAACGTATCATTAGCGACAAGATACATTGCTATCGTGATGTACAATAATGCCACAATGTGCTCTACTAAAAACCAGCATTGATTTCGTAATCTGATGTCCTAACTGTTTACTTTATGTCTTACAGACCAGTGATTGGAATGCTACTGCCTTATGCAAATGTAGCCGAGCTACCATATCCAAGCTTAGTGCAGAAGAGTTACGTCTATCTGATTTTTTACTCTCACATAGCAAGCTTTACAAGGTTATGCCTTCTCGGTTCTACTTAAAACAATTCTACAAGAGCGGTATCCAGATACAACTCCCTTTTATAAAACATTGCTCCACGCAACATGTAGCTGAGCTACCGTAGCAAAGCTACTTATGCACTAGGTGCAGAGGAAGACAAGCTCCAAAAGCTTATATGTCTTAGGGTTCTTGACCCTTTCAAGGCTAGCTCGCAAGCTTATGCCGTTTGGTTCTGAACAACCGAGTCTCCAAGAGACTAGTATCAAAGATACAATTCCTTTCTTGCAAGGAATAGAACGCTCTAGCACTTAAGCTTTTTAGAGCAGGTTTGAAACTGATTTATATTTATGTTTATCTTCTAGCACTAAATATTGAAGCACCTACTCTATACTTAGTGCTAGTCAATATTTACTGGCTCTATACCCTATTTATGCAAACATGTATAGTCACTATACTTAACTAAGTATACTGACCACGTGGCACGATGCGACCCTTCGTACCTATTGCTGAAAGAGCCACCGGCTCTTCAACATCCCCAGTCGAACCATTGACGAGTGTATACAGCTGTTTGCTATCACCGTCACTCACGATATCATCATCGCTACTCATGATGCTTTCAGCATCCAACGCATCAGCGTCCACAGGTGTACACACCTCAAGGTCAAAGACCACTTCGTTTACTGACTTTACCCGACCCTCTTGGGTCAATGCCTCGTCACAAGGTGCTTGCACCTCGTTATCCTCAAATACAACATCCATTTGTGACTTCACTCGGCCCTCCAGGGTCAGTTCCTCGTCACTCATGTCACTTGTACTCATGACATCTTGGCTTGCAGCCACCAACACCACTCACGGTGTTTAATGATGTAGCATCATTCTCATGACACATGTCAGATGTGCCATCTAGTGGGTTCTTAACCACATTATCGACATTGGGCCTCTCCCAAGACAATTGTCCTCGACACTTACAGTGTCTACAGAGTCGGATATTCCGACATCCAACATATTGATCGAATTGGTCCAATATCCGCGCCAAAAGCGCTTTTTCTTCCTAGCAGAGGTGAGTTCATGACTCTCCAGTGGTCCACCAGGAGCATTGCACGTTGCGCCTAAGGTCTTCGACCTCCAATCAATCCATGGCTCACGGCGTTCTGGCCATGCCATGCCATGCCTAGTATGAGGTCATACCTCGCATCCAGGTCCAAGACCAGACAGCGTTCCATGCTGTTAAAGTCTAAGAGCATTACATTTAAATCCATAGGGACTTCGAATATTGTAACACGCGCACCCGTCGCTAAGCGAACTATGACTGTGTCGCTTTCACGCGCTACAAGCGCTTCAGCATACTGCTGACTACCTTCCACGGTGGCACGGCGCACATAATTGCCAGATGCCCCCGAATCGATCAAAATGATCCATGGTTTATCATAGCCCTTAATTGTCCCTTCGACGACTAGCAAGCTTGGCTTACATTCTCGTTCTGTTTTTGAGAGTTCGAATCTCTTTGGGGCTGGGATCTGTTTACTTCTACCTCCTAGAGGTTCAACAGAACTCAGTGTTTCCCCAGTAGGGCACCCCTCGCCTACTGGGTTCCGTCGTTTCCCCGCGGCAAACAAGAGGGTTTTTACATGAGGCGTCGGCCCTTCAAGGCAAAATATGCCTTTCTTGCAGGGAATTTTGCCATCAAATGGCCTGTGCTCTTGCAGATATAACATCTGCGCACAATTTGCTACTCCGCAGCTTGAAGCTCGGCTTCTTCATCCTCCACTTGACTACAGTTCATGGGTACAGACATACCCATCAGACGAGTAGTTATAAGTGGCAGGCGTAGCGGTCTTAAAGTTGGTCTCAGCATTCCATACCACTTCAACAGCTTCCTCGAACAAGGACGGGCTCACCCGGAAGACTTCCGTTCTGGCAACGCCAACTCGGAGGCCCTCCATGACGACCGTGACGGTCACTGCCTCAGGCATAGGGTCTATGTCTATGGCGGCAATAAGAGTTCTCAGCTCTTGCACTTGTGCCGCAAGCTCACGCTTACCTTGGCGACATCCCAAAAATCGCGACCGATTACGGTGTGCTTGGTTTGGCGCTGCATAACGCCGGATCATCTGAACTTTATGATCGGCCCATATTGGGAAGCATCTTGCAATGATGCACCGCATGTGAGCGCTTTTTGTTTGTATAAGCCACCCAAGTTACCCGTGGCAAATCCAACACGGTACGGTTCATAGGTGATGTCGGCTATGAACATAGCCGACCCAACCTGTCGGAACCACAGCATAAGGTTGTCACCTTCTTTGCCGTCGAGCTTGTCCACTTCAAAATGTATGAGTTTCGTCAGCGGACCACTTTTGCGCCATAATCGCCATTTGAGAAGGCGTTGAGGAAGATGTCTGTGCCTTTAAATGCTTGACTAGAGCTTTATTATATTCATCAAGCTTATGAATACGCTTGCTAACCTCTTCTTCACCTTGGGCAATGAGGTATTCCACGCCCTTACGGCCAAGGATAGGTGGCAGCTTCTGCAACCCTTCCTGTTGTGCTTGTGACAGGCCAACCGCTGACATCTCATCGATGTTCATTCTCACACAGAGAAGTAGTCGCAAACCCAGGTGCGGGATTGACTAAAAGTGCTGACATCTCATCGTTGTCCATTCAAAGAAGTAGTCGCAAACCCAGGTGCGGGATTGACTACAAGGGCTACCAGGTGTAGCCGAGCTACTGTAGCCACGCTACTTGTGCACTATGTGCAGAAGAATTAGTCAGACTACTGTAGCAAAGCTACGTATGCACTAAGTGCAGAGGAAGACAAGGTCAAAGAGCTTCTACGTCCTAGGGTGCTTTATTCTCTCAAGGCTAGCCTTAACAGTGCCTATGGTTGCAAGCAGCCACGTCTCCAAGAGAGCAGCATACAAGATACACTTCCTTTTTTACAAGGAATAGAACGCTCTAGCATCGTATGCTTATAGAGCAGGTTTGAACCTGATTTATATTTATGTTTATCTTCTAACACTAAATATAGAAGCACCTACTCTATATTTCGTGCTAGTCACTATTTGTCTGGCTCTGTAGCCTTCTAATATGTAATAATATATATTACTAATGCTTTAACTAAGTATAATGACCGCTTGGCTCTCTGCCACGATGCGAACCATTGTACCTTTGGTACGGTCACATCAACCTACCACTGAACCCAAAGTACAGCCACACCACAATGATGTGGTAAGTGAGTATATAAATAAATCTCATGTGTATCCTGACTAATAATACAATATCGCAGTGACAGTTTATGATGGGTCAATGTTTTGTAACGCCATTACAGCACCTTAGCTAATACCACCTTGTCAGCTTCGATTGTTTTACTATATTTAGCGCGAAACAATCGAAATTATCTATAATCGGCTATGTTTATAATCCGGGAAACATAATAACACGCTATTTAAATCTGATTAAATCTGATGGCATCGCGAGGTAGTAGTGTAAGTAACGACACGCGTGTGCTGTTTTTATGCAACACAATGTTCAAGAAGAATTAAAGCGCTATGAAAATAAATTAAAGGCTTACTTTATACAGCAACGAATTGTGGCCAATGCTCTTCCAATATAAAGACAAACGCAGAATTATGCGCGGATGCGTTGATGCTTGGTCATAAGTCGTACAAGCGCTTTGGTCTTTGGCTAGAATTCTTGGTACGCGATAAGAACTCAGATATTATTGCGCGTAAAAGTAAATATGTCGTCTTTTAATGAATTGCATTCGATGCTTTACAGCGACCAAGACTGTGCGGTACAAGGTGCTCACAAAAGCGTCAAAAAAACGAAAGAATTACAAATTCGTATAGTTGTATGTAAAAAGATAAACCAGAACTGAGTATGCACAAACAGCGGGACCTACGCCCCGCCAACAATGTTATGTATACGGAGTTACAGTTAATTGTTTTTAAAGAAGAATTAAAAATTAAAAATTTCTACGTATCAGATGTTGTACAACGATTATTAGCCTTTCCGCTTGATTGCGACGTCAATATCGGTAACGGAGCCATACAGAACATGGCTGTGATGAGGCCGTGCGTCGTTATGAAGTCGAGCTGGAAAATAATAATGCACGATGACCATCGTTAACAACGATAGAATGTTACGTAACTTGAAGTTTCGCTTCTTTGGTCAAATTCTAGAGAATGAAAGAATGAAAATCCGGCCGATATTTCAGAATTTGACTAAACTTTGCATGACAACAACGACAAAAAGACGCATGGCAAAAGTTTCAGCTAAGACGGAAAAACAGTGGAAGCAGCATCCGGCAATCGCATCGAGCAATAAGGAGTTGTTATGGAAGAAAATTCGATTATAACTCCCGAGAGAAGCTGTTATTTTAAGCTAAGAGAAAGTTCTATCTTGTCGTCATCGTGCATTCAATTGGTTAGGTTTTGTCGAGAAGCTGCTCATTTGCTATGGTTGCGGTCTGCCATCTCCTCTTCACAAATGCACGTCGAGGCTATTTTGTATTGGCTTCACAGCTCGACAGCTAGGCAACGGATAGAAGATGGCTGAAACCAACGTCGTCCAATAAAATTTATAGGGTGTTATGCAATGTAAGTTCTACGACGCTGAGGCTCAAAGCAATTATGAATAGGGGGGCAATTTGTACTTGAAAGCGCGATGAAGCTAGCAAATCTTTTGGTGGTTTCTACACTCAAATTTGGATTAAAGCCAGTGCATCGGTGGTATTGGGCAAAAACTGCTCAGTGTGGATGGCCAAAGTCCATACGTGCTAAACGACTGCGAAACGAACCAAAACACTCGCAGTGATAATATCTTTCCTGTTGGGATTGGCACAGCTCATTTCTCAAGTTGGCGGTCGTCGCCTAGTTGAAACCTGGTAATCGATTAACAACAGCACAACAACAGCGCTTGGTGTAGCGGATCCCGACCACGATCCGATTGGACCACTAGCTACAGCAGTTTCCCAAACAATTTACCTAATCAATGCTTTGCAACCCGATCACGCCTACAACTTTCATGTTTTTTCCTCGATCAGGTTCCGATATCTCCAAGTTTGTTGTTTCGAATTCGACTTCTCTACCGCAACACGCTATTAAATTGCTTGACCATACCGATCATAGCGGTCCAGGTACACCAGCTATCGCCACACGGGTGTCGTCGGCGCCTTCAGCTATGTCGGTGACACTTAAATCAGCGAAGCTAAAACCATCAGCTTTGTCATCCAATGCCATTCATCGGAAGGGACAAACAGGTATGAACGGAGGACGCTGGACCGAGCAAGAACATCAGAGATTTCTTGCGGGCTTACGGCTGTACGGTCGTGAGTGGAAAAAAGTGGCCGGCAAGATAAAGACGCGTACGTCTGCACAAATTCGTAGCCACGCACAGAAATACTTTGCAAAACTCGCACGGGACGACGAACTACGCAAGCACTGCGGGCTATCGGTGAGAATACCTGGGCCAGCCGATTATTTCAGCGATGGTGGCTCCATCGCACAAAACAGTAGTGATGATGATGCCGATCCGTCGGATGTATTGCGTCAAAAATTCCCTGGGCGCTCAACGTGTCAAACTAAAGGAGCCGGTGATATCACCGTTGCCCCAATGAGTTTGGCAGTAGGCAGACTATACCAACAAACTCTCGAGCCAAAGAATAAACGATCGCGCGATACAGAGGCAAGTTACATGGGTCAGCTAGGAATAGATTTGCCTGCCTCTACGTATCCATACAAGCTTTATCAACGACCGCATGATGCGCTTCCGTCGCAAGAAGAGCTGCTAGCAAAGGCGTCTCCTAATTTACGTTATCGACTGTCCTGTCTCATCGAAGCAGAGCTGTGTGCGCTTCAAGTTCTTTCGTGCTATGCCATGCTGCAGCAGCAAGATTACGTCTCGGCATCTCGCCATAAAGTTGGGCGACAAGAAAGACGCCGTAATTTAGATGCCTCAGCAAGTACTGCCACTACAGAAAGCGCTACCTCATTGTCGCTTGGACTCTCGATGCGATCCACGCAGCAGATCTCATCGACTTCGTCTATTTATTAAAAGACGAGGAGTAGATTGGAAAACATGTACTTTTAATTTGCATTTACTCGCTATACAATTGAAACATTAGTAATTACGTTTTGCCCGACCCATAACGTCTCGGGAACAGTTAAAATTTCGTGCTTGGTTTAACAACACCTTTCAACAAAGCCACAGTGTAAGAGTAATAAACCGTCTTCAGTCCAATTCTTAGTCCTATGCTGGGCTGTAAAACTAGCAGCAACACTAGCTGTATGAAAAACTTCCTATTGAATGGTTTTGCATTTATCAGAACGTTGCGCAGATGCTTATGGAGACAAAGAATGTCGTCTTGGGCCAGCAAGTGGTCTTGCTAGTGATTCGTGGACATAAGTAGCTATAATTCCAGCAAGTTACAAAGTAAGAACTATGGCGTCGTCGCAAGCGTTGACATTTCCATCGTATGTAGTGAGGTGGCGTTGTAGCAGAGTGAGTTATGTCAAGCCTGTTTGTGTTTGGTAATAAGATGGTTACTATTTTATGGAGACGGTGGACTAATTACACGCAATGCATCTTGTGCGGTCAAAACAATCAATTTATTCAAGTATGTTCTACATCTTGTCACTATGTTTATTTTTAGAAGCAAATATCATTGTCAAGAAGGAATTTTCTGCATACGCACTAGAATACACAATAGTAGCGCATACCAAATGTAAGTATGAAGTTGTTACTGTCGACTTGAACTACGTTATCGTAAGTCTGTTTTTTGATTAAATATGAACAGGTTGAATCTGGGCATGCAAAAAAATAGGTTTTATGTTTTGCTGGGGTTTTTTACTTTACAAGGTAATTTATAGCTCTTGCATTTTGTATGCTTTAAAGTTAAAGTCAGTTGCATTAGCAAACGTTTCTCACTTGGTTACACTATGATCTCACCGTTGTGACGGTCACACTTTCAATTTCCTCGAACAAAGGCAGATATCTATAACTTGAGAGAAAAACGCTAACGAACTCGCATTTTTAGTCTCAATCCAGTCGAACGGCAGCCTCTTTACTTCTTCTTCTCACCCTATTACTTATCTTAACGATGGGCCAAGGAGTGTCCCGCAACGGCATGCCTAGCGGTGGGGACTTTTATGGGGCCCCTATCTACGCCACAAGCCTCAGCCATGACCGGCAGACGGAGGTTCGCGTAAGTAAGGACTCCGATACAGTACAGATTGGACCACGTGCACAGCTCCCGTATCTTGAGACGCCTGGCATGCGCAAACAGGACTTTTTCCGACGATTAGGTCTTGTGGTCAAAACACGCGGCAACCGAATCACGCAGAACGCGGAGGTCGTGATAACTGACTTTTACAGACTAGACGGTAAACACTTTGTATCACGAAACCACAGTCAAGGTCCCCAACCGATGAATTGGCATGGACTTAAGGGTCCAGCTGAGGCCAGTTGCGGACTGCGCGTTGGGGATACACTTTACGCAATTAACCATCGACTGGTTATGAACAAATCCAAGGGACAGGTGCTTCGACAGATTAACTCGCTGCTTGATAAAAATGGTGGCGCTACTTTGGTACTCACGTGGAAACACACAGATGAAATTGAGGTGGTGTCTTGGGAGAACGAGCTGTGCATGCCGCCGCCTGAAGGCGTCTACACACCGATGGAGAACGAATGGGGGCCCGCCCGACCAAGCAAAATATCGTCGGTTTCGATCTAGGGACTCGATTTGTTTCTCACTGATGCTTGAGCGTGCGCTCGTTTTCATAGACAATTTAGGCACGTGCAGCAGGCTGAACCTACGGCATGTTAGTTTCTTTTTTCTTTTTTTCCAACGACTACTAGTGTGCCAATCCCCAAGAAGATGTCAGCCGCGTAACGGTCTTGCTGAATTGTGCTACAAAATATGTAAAACGTCGAGGATCTTCGATTTATGCGCAGAAGATTCGCTGGTTACAATCAGTAGTATCTATATAATGTGATTACAAGGACGGCAAACAGAGCCGCGATAGACTAGAATTGCTTGCGGCGTATGAGCCCCAACACAAAACAACGAAGGCAGACGTGACGCTTGGGACTTGGTTTGACAAGCACTTGTTTGGTTTTCAGGCGGTTTGACAAGCAATGATTTGGTCTTCTAGTTCTTTAATTTGCTATTGGAAATCACGGGTGAGATTTCGTCTCTGCTGACCATGAACATTGGTCACTGCTCCTTCCGCAGGAAGAGGGGGGACCCGCTGCTGCAATCGTGTAAAATATAACAATAAAACGCTAACGATACGATTGTGTTGTCTACTATTGTTTTTTGCTGGTAAAGTGCTTTGCGTGCTGTGAGCTCACTACTCGTTGAAAGCGAATGATTTGCCACCTTTGAACAACACACTAGCTTATTAAGTTAATGTATCTACGTGCCAAAATTGTTCCTTGCACTGAGCTGACCACTACCTAGTTGTGCTGATACCGTACACTTTTTATCGTTCACCGCAATTACTTTAATATCTACTTCTTGTTGAGCTTAATTCTCCGCGATCAGTACCTTCTTCAGTCGTTCAAAGGTACCAAAAGTAATACCTACCATTGGCACAACCTTCATGAGCTCCGGCGTAAGTCCACGGTAAAATCCACTCACGCCCTGCTTTCGGAACAACTCCGATGCGATGCCTGTGGTCGTCGGACGTATACCTGCGTTCTCTGCGTGGATGGCCGAGATCTGCAGGCGACGGCGTACCACATCGATGGGAAATGTCACGAGTGACGAGACAATGCCAGCCGTGCCACCGCAGAGAAGCGTGTCGGTCACACCCAGGGGCATATCGTTAAATGTCTGCGCAGACTGTTCTCTTTCGACGCCTGTGAGCCCTAATAGCTTCTGGCTACGGCGAAACGACCGAGCGTACTCCTTGAGTGATTCGTACAACGTAAAGTTGATTGCTAGATTGGGGACCGTAACCATGAGTGTAGCGCCCATGCCGCGGTAGAGCCCCAGCATGCCTTCCTCGGCACTAATGCGCCGCACTGCATGGCGAATACCTAGGTACCGGATGTCTGTGTTTAGCTGCGTCGCCAACCTCGTTCGAATGAGGTCGATTGGGTAGCACGCTATTGTTGCCGTTGCACCGGCCAATGCCCCCGATGCAAACATGGTGGTCCACGAATGTTGGGTGAAGGCTGGGTGGTTCTGTGCGATGATGCTGTTTTTGACAATCTCAAATGTGAAGAAATTTACAGCTGAGTATGGGAAACGATGAAGTACACTGGCACCATTACCTTTCCAAAATGCTAGCACACCCTCATTTTTGAGTACTTTGACGAAAGCACTGCCCATTGAAGGCGAAAAACGGTCAGTATGCCTTGTAGACACCATGCTGTGCACCTGAAATAGTATCGTGAGACGGCTAAGTGGCGCTGTGATGGTCTTTCCAACGCTTCCAGCCACGCCTCCAGCAAACAATACGCTGCCATGGCGCACAAGCTGCTTAAACGCATCTTGATGCACCAGATCCACATCTACGCCATCTGTCTCCGTGCACAAATCACCCGTATCACCAAAGATCACAACCCCCGTTGTGTGGCGTCGCAGCGTTACGCGAACATCACGCTCGCAGTCTACAAGGTAAGGAGTCTTTTGCTTGTCGCCACTATCTTTTTCCACGTTGATAGTCGGTCCCCGGGACATCATCGGAGATGTTGATGAGGAATACCGGTATCCGTTACTGCTGTCATTTGGAGTAAGTGGTGCACATTAAATTTCCTCATACCTCGCGTGAGTGACGCTCTTTGTCAATATCCCTCCATATTCACCAAGATGGACATGCGGTCGAAGGCATACCCGTCGCTACCAAAGGATCAAAGACTGTGTCTTGTGCTACCACGCATCGGTGATCTACGCCTGCGCTCACAGATTCCGACAGAATTTTTGCAACGTCTGTACATCCACGCAGATCCACGACGTCGCTTCTGGTACATGCGCTTCCAGCTCACACGCAAATTCATCGTCATGTCCAAGCAGGGGGATTTGTACACAAAAACAAGCCTAAATACCTTTACAATGGCTGAACTACCTAATAAAAACCTGCTTAGTATGCCTCGCGTGGCTTGTGGGGATCTCATGAAGGTGCTGGATCTCGTACAGTGCTCAACAATTGAAGGCCAGCATTGGGAGCTCGTATTGACGCGCTGGCGCAACGGAATGGAGACATGGCTACCGCTGGAGGTAGTGCAGCTTTATGCAGTCACTATTCTACAGGAATTTTACGTTAATAGCATTAATTCATGGGCATTTCGCGGTCGCATACAACCAGGAAATCTACTGGCGTTTCGGACAGAAGTGGAGCTCTGGCTTTTTCATCCCGAGTTTCAGGAGTTTTACAAGAAGCTTCGTCAAAGGCGAGCGACTCACAGTAACAAAACAGTATGTAGTCCACAGCAGGGGGTGATGCAGGCGCGTGTGAAACCTGAACGACTGATAGAATCTGTACATAGTGTAAATACGCCTTTGACACCACACGTGTCTTATGTGTCACAACCGCCAAACTCTGGTCGAGCCATAACAGCTAGTGACCCATCAGAAACAGTGATACAGCAATTTGAGAGACGAGGACTTGTAAGAGAGCGTCAGGAGAGACTTGACCAAATTCGGCAGAACAGACATAATGAGTTACAGCAAGAGCTGCTAGAAACTACAAAACAACGAGCTAATAAACAAGTCGAGCAGTTACAAAGGTTCGAATGCGAGCGGCGTCTTCAGCTTGAGCGACAACGAGAAGAAACGCATCATGAGCTGCAGAATAGCCCGAAAGAACAGCAGCAACGACTTGGGATGCAGCAAAAGCGAGATAAATTGGGAAAATTGCATCAGCAAACGCAAGAAAACTGGCATGAGGGAAAGACACAAACAGTATTGCAACGCAAGCTGCAGCAAAGAGAGCTTTTACAAGAACAAACGCCTGCAAGGCAAAGCTATAATGAAAAAATAACGCTTACCCTGTTCCAGGACAAAGAATGTCAAGATGATGCTTCTCTCTTGTCCACATCGCATCAACAAGAAGAGAGCACGTCTTCTATTTTGGTCGAAGATGATAACGACAATTTTGTTCCATTAAACTCAAGCAGTGAAAGCAATGATATACAAATGAATGCTGAAAAGGATTCAAGTAGGGATAGTGTAAGCTGTCTGCCTCAAAAGCGCCATCGAAAGCGATTATTATACTCTCAGGTAGGTTTGGACGATGAAGATGACGACGAGCTTCCAGATTTGTCACAGCCACCTCCTAGTAATTGTCCGCAATACGAGATTCAAAACATCATCGAAGACGACCGTTTTGGTGGGAGGTCTTCTCATGTTAGAAAGAAGCTCAAACGATTACGCAAGTCTGTGCAACTTGAGAATAATGGAACGACAAGCAGCTGCGTGGATACTAATCTTGCGCAGCTTTCAGATGATTATGGAGATGATGATTGTCTGGAAATAACGACAGCTACCGAGTCAGGTTCATTAAATGATGGTAACGCAGGAGAGAGCTATGTTGGCGCCAATTGTGCCACAGAGCTTGTCGATGACGGTGCTAACCGTGAGTCTATTATAATGGTTGGCGTAATTCGATGCGTATGCGGGGCTACATCAGTTGGAGGTTACCGTGGGCGATGGTTCCAATGCTGGAACGAAGAATGTGGTGTCTGGGAGCATGCTGATTGTGTTGGATTTTTGACAAATAATGAATTCCAGCCATCATTAAATCATCTTTGTCGTCGTTGTGATCCTGAGGCATATCTGACACGTCGTGAGAAAGCGTCCGAACGAATTCTGGATTGGTTGTTTCAATGTTGCGACAGCAGAAATGTGAAGCAGTTAATGGACTTGCTGGAAGACAACATAGGAATTGTAAATATTCCTTTAGATTGGAAAAATGAACGTTACGAGAGTAGGACTTTGGCTATGCATGTTGCACGAAATGGCCTCGCCCAGTGTTTGCAATATCTAATAGTTGAGCGTAAAGTGGACATCTTTGCGACGGATTTGCAGAGTCGTAATGCCCTACACCACGCGGCGCAAGGGGGCTCAGTTATGTGCTGTCGGGTTCTTCTCAAACATGACCGAAAGTTACTGTTTCATCCAGATTTGCGTGGATGTATGCCCTTTCACTGTATGCTGCAATCAATTAAAGCTAGCAAGCTGTGTATTTCTTTTATGCAGGAAAATACGGCGCTAATTGGAATGGGAGACCTTGACTCTAACTTTCCGATTCACTACGCGTGTCAGGCTGTTAACCGCCATACAGTCAAAATCTGCCGGATGGTTTTTGCTGCTCAACCATCAATGCTTCAGGAGAAGTCCAATGAAGGCTTAAATCCTTTGATGATTTTATGCAAGTCAACTGGTACTGCAAGTACAGATATGATAAGGAACAAGACAAGCAATGCGAGCGAAGCGATTAAAAGTGCGAAGGGCGTTATATCTTTAATGCTCGACATCGACGTGTTTGGGGACTGTTTGAACGAGAAAGCACCCAACGGGTGGTCTCCACTTCATTTTGCAGCAGCGTCCGGAAACCATGAGCTTATTACACATTTGTGCAACCTTGCGCTTTTTGATATACACCATGCAGCGAAAGGATCCGGTCAGACTGCGCTTCACATTGCGGCACAACATAATCGGTTGTTGGGCATTCGTGCACTCTTACGTAAGGGATTAAATGTCACGGCTAAAGACAGCGATGGATGGATCCCAATGCTATACACGGAGGATGCCGCATGTATTCAGGAGTTCATGCATTATAAGCTAACAAAACAACTTTCAAGACTGCATCGAATGCTGAGCAAATATCAGCTACGAGGGCTTGTCCGTCGATGGCAGCAACTCGTAGCACGTGATCCGACCTGCTTTAATATCTTAAATGATTGGTGTCAAGGCAAAACTGAGCGAATTGAGCGGATGGAAGGGCTTTTCTTATCAAATCCGTATTTACTTCGGCTAGATAACAAGATTGAATATGTTCGGACAAACATCATTCCCTCCATTACAAAACCTTCTGGAACATGCTCTGCTACCGTTGACAACGGAGAGGCAGGTATAAAGACGTATTCAAAGGGTCAGAAGAAGATTGCTTTTGTTTTCTCGCGTGGAAATGGATGTTTTTGGAAGCAGTTTGTTGGTATGGGAATGAGACTGGAGCCGGAAGATTTTCGCTTGCCGATAATTTTCTCCATCGATCGTGGTGGTCCAGGTATTGATAATCAAAACACCAATTTAAAACTTGTTTTGATTTGTTTAGCGGCGGGATTGCATGAAGAGATTCCTGGACTACTCGTTCGCGGATCTAGCTGCGCTCAACAAAAGTTTTGCTTATCGTCTGACAAGCAGGAATCGGCTGAACAACTTGTAGGATTTTACTTGCTGGGAGAGCTGGTCGCGCATTTTGTGCTTTTTGCAGTTTCCTTAAGCGGTAAACTCGATTTTGAATCATCGTTTTTGCGCTGCATTGGTTGCCACGGGATGTACAAAATGACGTGCGATGCGCCTTGGAAGATTTGTGGACGTGCTTTTGTTGCAGGTTTTGAGGCTGTATTGCCTGGAACCCTTACACTCTTTCGCGCGGAAGATCTTCGCATACTATTTAACGGTCCACAGACTAGTCTCAATGCTCTGCAGATCGACTGGAGCACTGCTGTTGATTGGAAAGTATGCAGCTTCAGAGCAACGGATGATAAGGATGGTGAAAATGCGAAGACGTGGTTGCCTCGCCTGATGAACGAGCTTGTTGAAGAAGAACAGCAGCTTTTGCTACTATTCATGACTGGTACATTCCAGATGGTAAATGATCGTTTTTTTCGCTCTAATGGCGAATTGGACCGCATTACTGTTGCGTCATATCCTGAGACTGATGTTGTGTTTGACCACGACCTGATGTTTCCTACTTTGGAGAACAACCCAGATATCCTTCGCCTCCCGTCCTACTCATGTTATGAAGCATTTAAAAAGGGAATGCTTTCGGTAATACGTCATACAGATCAAGCCTTTCTTCCTGAGTAATATTTTACCAAGCAGCTTAAAGCGACTGACTGATTATGCTTTATCCGAAGAAATAGTTTTTGCACCAAAAAGATTCGTTGTATTGGAGCAATAGCAAAAAGGGCCATTAGGAATCCAGGCTATTAATTTACAGAAGGCAATTTTTGGAATTAGGTTAGTATTTATAAAATCGAAACAAAAAGTGTTGTTTCTAGTTTCTAGTTTCTAGTTTCGTTTCTCATAAATCTCGACTGGATAGAAAGTATACAGTTCCGCGCGTGGTAGGATCGGCGTCAATGTCGACAGTGTAGAGTCATATCATGATGACTTTAAGCACTGACAATTGCTGCAAATCTTGTTTTTAAATGTGTTAGGTTCCATCAAAGCAGATATTGAGGTTGTTTATACCATGGACCTGAAGGTAGTAACTGACGATATAGAATCGAAATAATTTTGAGCAACTCGATCGAAAGAAGCAATGACAATTACTGATGAATTCGGGTGTGGTCGTGACTGAACGTTAACACTTAGTGCTATCATTGGTCTTTTAATGCATCGTTGGCTTCCCCATGCTGAGTAGCTCTTTTGCTCAACAAATGGAAATGCAAGGAAAAGTAAAATCAATCATGAATGCTCAATCGAACATGAACCACTGTTTGCTAATTTTGTCTTGTTTAGCTCTAGAACTTGATCACGACACCTTAGCGAATTTTTTTCAGTCTCATTCAAAGTCATTTTGTATTCTCTAGCTATCCAAAACCAATCACTACAAGTGTTTAACAGTCACCACTTGCTACTGAAAATTTGTACGCTGTGTCTTGTACTAAGGCACAACTTGCCTTAAATGAACAAGGTCTTCCTCGTATAGCTTGAAATTTGCGTGCAAAACACCGCAGGGTGAGGTGTGAATGCTTTGACCCTCTGTCGTTCTGCTCGTGTGTAATACGTTACAGCCGGGCCTTCTGGGACTAATCGGAAACAGATGGCACTGATCTAGCGAACTATCTTGATGCACAAGGACACACCTCGACACCGTCGTGACATGCCTTCTTGAGAGGGTTTTTTGGGCGATAAACTGGAGTCATATCTGACGCGGCTACCATTTTTCCAACCTGTTACGAGATAAAGCTGAACGTCTGAACGTGTCGACCTGCAAGCTGCTGGCGCTTAAGTGCCGCCACGTCGATCAACTCATCCTGTACATCTTAAAACGGTAGGCGTACCTAATAGGAACACCATATTGCAAAAATGCGCATTGCTCAATGGTCTCGCTATATTAAGTTGTCATTCGTTTTTACTTTCATTCAACTCGCTATGGAGTTCAGAGGTAGCATGGTATCCGATCAGATTATCCCTTTTGGCACGTTTCTGTGCAGGCTTACACCTCACGTAGTTCGCTGCAAGTCCATAAAGCCTTAAGCTAGATGGAGGTTCAATTGTTTGCTCGTCTTTTGGCCTCCGCTAGTGTGCTGGTTGCAACCTGCCATGCTGTTGCCGCATCCTGCGCTTCATGGTCGACTCGGTATCAGCAGGACATTGAAGGAATTTGTGTCTGCAACGCTACCAGTTGCGACTCCGTGTCGACCGAGTACATGTCGTTAAGCAGAAATCAAGTTGGGCTCTTCCAAACGTCTAAAGCCGGTGACCGTCTAGCATATTCGACATTAGAAATCAATGACACCAGTGACGACGACGACGCCGAACTCATCATTGACTCTACCACGACGTACCAAAACATCATTGGGTTTGGAGGTGCTTTCACGGATTCAGCAGCTATCAACGTTTACTTGATGGACATGAATGTTCAGCAGCTTATCGTGGACGCATATTTTTCTGACACTGGGCTTCAGTACTCGTTGGGTCGTATCCCTATTGCTTCTACCGACTTCTCCGAGTATGTGTATTCGTATAATCCTTCTATTGACGACTTTGCAATGACTAATTTCAGCATCGCCGTGGACAAGTATCCACTCTCAAACAAGTTGAATCTAATCCAGCGGGCACTAAATGAGACCGCTGTAGCCCGTCGCAACCTCACCTTTTATGCTTCTTCATGGGCACCGCCTCTGTGGATGACAAATGGTAACACAACGCTCAATTGCGAAATGAAGGGCTACCCTGGCAGCAAATATTGGAAGGCACTGGCTCTATATTACTCGAAATTTATCAGTGCGTACGAAGCGGAAGGTGTTCCAATTTGGGGCATGACAACGCAGAACGAGCCAACAAAACAAGAACTTGCCAGTAAGTTCTGGCAAAGTCTTCGATTCAACTTGACAACTGAACGCGACTTTATCAAAAGAGACCTTGGTCCCATGATGAAAAAGAACCACCCGGACTTGAAATTTATCATCCTGGACGATCAAAAAGATTTGTTGCTGGACTGGAACGCCTCGCTGCTGGATGAGACAGCACGGAGCTATGTTTCAGGCGCTGCGGTCCACTGGTACAAGAATCTAGATTTTGCCTTTGGTGCATCCGGTGATTTCGATGCCTTGGTTACGTTTCACGAAAAATACCCCGACATCTTCCTACTCGCGACGGAAGCGTGTGAAGGCTCGCTGGTTGAAGGGCTTGGCACAGGAGTAGGAACAAACTTGTTCGATTACAAAAATATCACTTGGCAGCGCGGCGAGAACTATGCACGCGACATCATCAATGACCTGGTTAGCTTTGCCAGTGGCTGGACAGACTGGAACCTTGTTCTTAACACGAAGGGCGGTCCTAATTGGGCGGATAATCAAGTTGACGCGCCAATCCTTGTGGATGAAGAAGGCGGTCAGGAGATTTACAAACAGCCCATGTACTACATCATAGGCCACTTTTCTAAGTTTATCATCCCGGGATCTTTTCAAATTCAGGTAAATATAAGCAGAGATACCAGTTTGGATAATGTAGATCGTGTTGCGTTCCTGACCCCAGAGGACCAAGTAGTTGTTGTGCTTTTAAATCGCGACAACACCGAAAAGAGCATTCGCTTAGTTCTTCTTACTGAAGCGTGCTCCGTGACAACATTGCTTCCGGCAAAGACGATGCAAACTCTTCTCTTTCCAAAGTTCCGCAGCAAGTCGAGTAAGAGCAGCGCCGCAAATGCACTGGCCGTTCATTTAGTCAGCATAGTGCTGCTGACTATCGGTCAGCTACTAGCTATGCAACCATAAATGATTTCGAATAGATTCTCATTCATGAACATGGCTACTTACATATTATAGGCCGTTGAAACATGGAATGATCACACGTCAAGTGATAGTGGATAATATTGTTGATTTGGCGCTAGTACGAAAGCACGTATATCGTTTGCATAAATCAAGCAGCACGCATATATTTCACTGGTCGACAAAGATGCTTATTATACATGCTGGGACAAGTCATTTCTCGAGCAACGACAATTACGAGAATGAACAGGACAATTGGATATGTATGCTTGGAAAATACTTACTGTTGGTAGTGTTAATCTCAAGCATGGGCCTTTTTTCTCCGTGAATGAATTGCAACAACTGAACGCGTTCTGTACATGTGATGACCTCATTAGGTTCCAGGAAGAAGCAATACCGAGTAATGCTGTTAGATTACAAAGCGTAAGGTCTATAACTCCCTTCAAGAGTAGACCAAACGTTTTGTGGCTATATACTAATAAGCACCTAGTGATCCTTCGAATACATGTCTAGTTACTCGGATGAGAATTGAGATTCTGCGTAAAGAGGAATTTCAATTCTCATCCGAGTAACTAGCTAGCTATACGATCACAGCTATTAGTACGAAGAAGATCAAAGGAATTACAAAGTAACTGTAAGAGCAACTCACTGTGTTCATTTACAAACAATAAACCTTTGTGTTTAATTATAATAAAACATACGTTTTATGCCGTAAGCTATTGTTGGCCTTTGGTAATTGTTGACAGGTCTGGCCTCAAATCGCCCCCTATCGCTCATTCATTAATCAAATTCACGCGAAAAAGAACTCAAATTCTTCATCTCTACTCTCAACATGCACGCCATCTCTTTGTCTATGATCATGGTCGTGGCTATTACGGGTGCTGCTGTCTCCACTGTCACAGCGCATGGCATGCACCACTCGCACAATGTGCGTAAGCTGCTTGCAGACATGAGTGGTTTGGACATGACGGCGTCGTCTTTAATGGGCGAAATAACATCGGCTACTACGCCGGAGGATGAGGAGTACAATTGTCCTGTATGCGGAATGTCCACTAAGGATATGGGCTATGACAATTTGAATTACATTGATTTTGCTAATGGCCAGACTGTTTATACGTGCGGCATGGCGGCACGCTCTCATAAAGACTACGAAATCGACCTTACTGATACGGCTTATTTGGCCGCCAACATGGCTGAGTTTATTGTGAATTCCTCGGCCACCGAGGAATACGCCGAGTGCGAGAATTCGTGCGAAGAGTGCGAGGACGGCATCAAAGACCCCGTCACAGGTGACGACGTGACCACGTCTAACTACCAATATGTGTGTCTGACGAACGGCCAAAAGCTTTACTTTGCATCCACGGCCAGCAAGGACAAGTATTTGAGCAACGTTAACACAAAGCCGCGCTATCTCGTGGACAGTATAATCTGCGAGAACAAGACGTGCTCCGACGCCGAGAACATAACTGTGCTTAGCGCCGCGGCAGAGGCCTTTACGCCTGACCTAACCACTGTGAACAGCAGCGACTCATCTTTTGCCAGCGACTCAAGCGACGCTACGATAGTAAAAAGCTCTGTCAGTCTGATTTTGGCGATCGTGAGTGGCGGGCTGGCGGTGTTGGCCGCAATGGCGTAGACACTAAAGCTAATCAACCGACAGGCGAATGCATAAAACAGTACTGCAGTATCTAATTTGACGACAAAGTCGTCTTTATTGTACTAGCTGTATTCTCTTAACATGATAAGGTATATCTTGTTAATTGTGAAGTAATAAGGCGCTTCCTACTTTTTCACAAGGAGCCTAGCTCTTCATATATCTTTATCAGGATAGTCGCAATCTTTCAGAAGTGTAAGCATACATATGGCTATGTTTGCACGCACTCCCGTGTTGCATCAGTGAGCTTTGACGCTCCGTGACGGTGAACGACCGGACAATGTAGACCCATTGTATATATTATATTGCTATTGCTATTAGATCGACGAACAAGGTGCGCACATAATAGGAATGTAAACTTTTTATCGTGCTCGACCGACTTTGTTTAAAAGTAAATAACGAGTTCGCGCGCGAGGTCGTAAGGTTCATGGCAAACAATCCAACGGCCGAGTTACCAATCATCTCAGGCTGTGTCTGCTCGTCGGCAATCTTGTTGCGTGCTTACGAAGCAAAAAATCTACAGCCTAGCCAAAGTACACATTACGCCTAAGATGCTGCCGGCAGATCGCGCAAGCTTGAGTGCGCACCCTTCAAGGTGGTCGGTAAGAATTTTTGCTGTTGACGACCGGTACTGCAACACTTTGTTTACAGTTATTTGTGACTCACTAGCAGTCTATACCACGCTTCATAGCCAAAGATATTGTGACCATCCTAGCAATCTAAGAATATCAATAATCTCAAATACCAGTGAGAGGGATGAGCATGCGAAAAACTCCTTGTTACTTCAAATTGAATCGCGTTCATGCCTCTGAGATTGACAAATTGATGCGACAGTCACACATCAGACAATTGAAAAACATTCCTTTGGGAAACCAATGCCACCAATAATCTATATGCACGTATACGATGCTTCTGATCCAATGGTAGACCACGGTCGATCATACTTTTGGTCATGAATGCCACGAACTCAATAGTATTTGCGTCCAGCATTATTGTACTGAGCTTTTTAATTTTGCTAATGGCGGTCCAAGCTGCTTGCGAGTTCACATGCTCTGCTGCTGTGCCCAACATATGGTGAAAAAAGTGACGCTTACGCGCAAGCATTTAGGATCGATATAATCGTTATTCAGGATATTTCATGGCAACCTTGAGTCCGTAGCCAACAGAATTTGTGTAACAGGGTTACACGAAGGTGTGTATTTTACATACACACCTGCCACACCGATGTGGTGTGGCTGTACCTTGGGTACAAAAGTAGGTGATGTGACCGTGTCGCATCGTGGCAGAGAGCCACGTAATCACTATACTTATTTAAAGTATAGTGACTATGCATGTATAATAATGACAGGCCATAGAGCCAGTAAATAGTGACTAGCACTAAATATAGAGTAGGTGCTTCTATGTTTAGTGTTAGAAGATAAACATAAATATAAATCAGTTTCAAACCTGCTCTGTAAGCCTTACAGCTTAAGCATTCTATTCATTCTAAGGAGTCAGTATCTTTGATACTAGTCTCTCTGAGACTCGGTTATTAATACCGATAGGCACAAGCTTACAAGCTAGCCTAGGAGGGTTAAACACCCTAAGACGTATAAGCTCATTGACCTTGTCTTCCTCTGCACTTAGTGCATACGTAGCTTTGCTACAGTAGTCTGACTAATTCTTCTGCACATAGTGCACAAGTAGCGTGGCTACAGTAGCTCGGCTACACCTGGTAGCACTTGTAGTCAATCCCGCACCTGGGTTTGCGACTACTTCTTTGAATGGACAACGATGAGATGTCAGCACTTTCAGTCAATCCCGCACCTGGGTTTGCGACTACTTCTCTGTGTGAGAATGAACATCGATGAGATGTCAGCGGTTGGCCTGTCACAAGCACAACAGGAAGGGTTGCAGAAGCTGCCACCTATCCTTGGCCGTAAGGGCGTGGAATACCTCATTGCCCAAGGTGAAGAAGAGGTTAGCAAGCGTATTCATAAGCTTGATGAATATAATAAAGCTCTAGTCAAGCATTTAAAGGCACAGACATCTTCCTCAACGCCTTCTCAAATGGCGATTATGGCGCAAAAGTGGTCCGCTGACGAAACTCATACATTTTGAAGTGGACAAGCTCGACGGCAAAGAAGGTGACAACCTTATGCTGTGGTTCCGACAGGTTGGGTCGGCTATGTTCATAGCCGACATCACCTATGAACCGTACCGTGTTGGATTTGCCACGGGTAACTTGGGTGGCTTATACAAACAAAAAGCGCTCACATGCGGTGCATCATTGCAAGATGCTTCCCAATATGGGCCGATCATAAAGTTCAGATGATCCGGCGTTATGCAGCGCCAAACCAAGCACACCGTAATCGGTCACGATTTTTGGGATGTCGCCAAGGTAAGCGTGAGCTTGCGGCACAAGTGCAAGAGCTGAGAACTCTTATTGCCGCCATAGACATAGACCCTATGCCTGAGGCAGTGACCGTCACGGTCGTCATGGAGGGCCTCCGAGTTGGCGTTGCCAGAACGGAAGTCTTCCGGGTGAGCCCGTCCTTGTTCGAGGAAGCTGTTGAAGTGGTATGGAATGCTGAGACCAACTTTAAGACCGCTACGCCTGCCACTTATAACTACTCGTCTGATGGGTATGTCTGTACCCATGAACTGTAGTCAAGTGGAGGATGAAGAAGCCGAGCTTCAAGCTGCGGAGTAGCAAATTGTGCGCAGATGTTATATCTGCAAGAGCACAGGCCATTTGATGGCAAAATTCCCTGCAAGAAAGGCATATTTTGCCTTGAAGGGCCGACGCCTCATGTAAAAACCCTCTTGTTTGCCGCGGGGAAACGACGGAACCCAGTAGGCGAGGGGTGCCCTACTGGGGAAACACTGAGTTCTGTTGAACCTCTAGGAGGTAGAAGTAAACAGATCCCAGCCCCAAAGAGATTCGAACTCTCAAAAACAGAACGAGAATGTAAGCCAAGCTTGCTAGTCGTCGAAGGGACAATTAAGGGCTATGATAAACCATGGATCATTTTGATCGATTCGGGGGCATCTGGCAATTATGTGCGCCGTGCCACCGTGGAAGGTAGTCAGCAGTATGCTGAAGCGCTTGTAGCGCGTGAAAGCGACACAGTCATAGTTCGCTTAGCGACGGGTGCGCGTGTTACAATATTCGAAGTCCCTATGGATTTAAATGTAATGCTCTTAGACTTTAACAGCATGGAACGCTGTCTGGTCTTGGACCTGGATGCGAGGTATGACCTCATACTAGGCATGGCATGGCATGGCCAGAACGCCGTGAGCCATGGATTGATTGGAGGTCGAAGACCTTAGGCGCAACGTGCAATGCTCCTGGTGGACCACTGGAGAGTCATGAACTCACCTCTGCTAGGAAGAAAAAGCGCTTTTGGCGCGGATATTGGACCAATTCGATCAATATGTTGGATGTCGGAATATCCGACTCTGTAGACACTGTAAGTGTCGAGGACAATTGTCTTGGGAGAGGCCCAATGTCGATAATGTGGTTAAGAACCCACTAGATGGCACATCTGACATGTGTCATGAGAATGATGCTACATCATTAAACACCGTGAGTGGTGTTGGTGGCTGCAAGCCAAGATGTCATGAGTACAAGTGACATGAGTGACGAGGAACTGACCCTGGAGGGCCGAGTGAAGTCACAAATGGATGTTGTATTTGAGGATAACGAGGTGCAAGCACCTAGTGACGAGGTACTGGCCCAAGAGGGTCGGGTGAAGTCAAAAATGACGGTTGTTTTTAAGGACAACGAGGTGCGAGCACCTCATGACGAGGTATTGACCCAAGAGGGTGGGGGTGCAGTCAGTAAACGAAGTGGTCTTTGACCTTGAGGTGTGTACACCTGTGGACGCTGATGCGTTGGATGCTGAAAGCATCATGAGTAGCGATGATGATATCGTGAGTGACGGTGATAGCAAACAGCTATATACACTCTTCAATGGTTTGACTGGGGATGTTGAAGAGCCGGTGGCTCTCTCAGCTATACTCGTAGTAAGTGCTATGTTAGAGCTGGACGAGTTGTCCTTTTGCCGAGTTTGGCATTGCCTTAAAGGCAGGCGACATCGCCGAAGTGGTCGTTATACGACCTAAGGAGGAGTTAAAATCTTTATTGATTTTGGATAAAGCAGTTCTTGAAGATACCAATTAGGCGTTGAGAGCGCGTAGTGGATCGCAGATCCTGAAGGACCTTTCAGACCTTTTTTCCTTTACTGATGAAATATGGAGATGTTGTATCCAGAGAACCTCCGAAGAGGTTACCTCCGGATAGAGGTGTACGTCATGAGATTGACTTGGTTCCAGAAGCCAAATACTGTGTGACGCAACAATGGCCGCTGCCACGAGAACAATGTGACGCCATTGACGAGTTCTTTCGTGCAAAGCAGGCGACTGGCATGGTGCGTGAGAGTAAGTCTCCTCACTCTACGCCCACGTTTTGTTTGAGGAAGCCTTATGGGAAGTGGCGGATAGTGCATGCTTACAATAAGCTGAATGCAGCCCCTATCCTGGATTAAACACCGATTCCTCGCAAGGATGTTCTTCAGAACAATATGGTGGGAAGAATGATGTACAGTGCCCTCGACTTAGTCGATGGATATTACCAACTGCTCATGCGAGCTAGTGATATCCCGCTTACAGCGGTCTGCACTCCGAGCGGTACCCGACGTACCCACGAACTTTTGCAATTAATTGGCGGCATCGATTTCATTTTCTTCTCATTTGCTTGCCTCGCAATAAGCGCTTGCACTTGCTTTCAAACCGTCTGTGTTTTTAACACTTGCTCTTTGAGCACCCGTACATTGCACACTCGCTTTTTAAGCATCCTTGTGTTACGACACTCGCTCTTTGAGCATATAGTGCATCGCACTCACGCCAAAGCATTAAGTGTTACGACACTTGCTTATGAGCGTTAAGTGCCAAGCACTTGGTATTACTAATACCCTTTGTGTGTTCACGAACACTTGCTT